GGAAGCAGAGGGGAAACTTCCCCCCTGTGCTGCCTCTCCCAGGACTTATTCCCCTCCTGGCCGCAGGGAAGCCGTGCTCCAGGTAAGGCACCGGAAAGGGAATGGGAAATGGAAGGGGCAGGGTTTGGAATTTGGCGCCCCATGCAACTTGGTGCCCTAGGTAGCTGCCTAGTTTGCCTATAGGCACGGGCTGCCTCTGTCCACACTGCAAAAGCACATCGAAAAAGCGCTATCTCATATGTAAACAGTGATTGCTATGGACAGAATGGCCACCAGCGCATCTGTGTTTTTTCCTCTTCCCCCTTCTTCCGAAAAAACTTCCTCTTCCCTGTCCACACATGCCTGTTGCGAAAGAGTTCTTTTGCAAAAAGGCTTCTTCCTTGCAGAATGAGGATTACCAATTGTGCAAAAAGCCATCTGTTCTTTTGATTTACTGTCAAAAGAACACACTTACAGAGTGGACATAACTCAGGTTTTGTGGGGAAAACGGCCATTCTTCTGAAAAAAAAACCTCTGTAGTCTAGACATAGCCTGAGTCTATCGGACTAAGTGATGTTGCCAATCAAAAAAAAAAAAATTCAATTGCAAAGATTCCAGGAAATTTGATCCTGTTCCATAGTTGCTAATAATAATACAGAAAGAAGTTGATACCTATTAAATCAAATGGAAAACAAGTAATTTTCCAATAATACAGTTCTTGTACTTATTGGGAGGGGGGCAGTTCTTGCTATTAAAAAAATCACTGAACTAAAAATATTTGTGTTGCCATTTAAAAACATTTGCAAATCTCAATGCTGCAATTTTATATTTACTTAGCAAAGGACATAACTTCTGTACCAGAAACACCATTCTGTTAAGCTTGACTACTGTTGCCTTTTTCATGGTGATCTCAATCATATATATAGTAGCCCAATGTCTGAGAGTCTGTAACGCTAAAATGCTGGCTGTTCCCTCTGAGCTGTGCTGTTGCTGAAATGCTGGCTGTTCCTCTGGGCGGCCCGTGCTGCACCCAAACAGCTGCTTGCGCCGCTTGCTCCCCCACGGCGGCCCAGCTGAATGGCGCAGAAGTCAGCTGAGCGCCACGGCAGGAGTGGAAGAGGGGCGGGGTGGTGACATACATGGCCAGGGGGGTGGGGCCTGGCCGTGTATGTCACCGCCCTGCCCCCTTTTGCCTCCCGCCATGGCACTCGGCTGACTTCTGCGCCACTCAGCTGGGCCGCCATATGGGAGCAAGTGGCGCAAATGACTGCTTGGGCTCCGCACTCCCCATGCAGTACGGGGAGTGCGGAGCCCAAACAGACCCTTGGGGGGGGGAGGGGGGGAAGAAAGAGAGAGAGAGAGAGTGAGAGAGAGACCGGAGGTTCAGGAGAGAAGACCGTTGTAGAGGAGAGACCTGAAAATCCTCTTTTATGATGGGCTAATTGGCTAGTATCTAGAGAGTTCTGCAGGTGTTAGAAAATATTTGTAATATTGTATGGAAAGGTGACAGATTATCTGAAATATCGTAATTTCACTTATTTGTCTTTGATCAGTTTTCAAGGCATCACTACAATTATATATGTTATTGAGTTTAAGCAAAGAAGAATAAAAAGGAAAAGGCTAATCCCATACATTTTTCCATTATTCTAGGAGGATGACATAGGTTTTGATAGCCCATTGTCTCCACAGTATATCACTGAAGAACAAGTAGTATTTTTTGAACATATTCCATTGAATGGAAAATCAAGAAGTATCCAAAAGTCAAGATTTCATGAGCTGCACAAAGGGAAACTGTTAAAATATCGGTAAATAGATGTGCTCTTGATACATTATAACTATCAAAGAGTATTCAATATTTTCATGCTTTAATCATTTAAAAGGACACTGTCAAATTCCTTTTTTCATACTTTGTTTTTTATTATAATGTTTTAAATACCATTTTAAAGGAATTTGGAAACATTGGGCAAAGAGTTGCCTTCAGTCACACTTCTCAAACACATTGGCTTCAATAGAGTAGTCTGGATATAACCAAAGGCAGATTTCAGTTGACTATAGTGTCTTCTATCAATGATTACTTTTTTCCATTCTGAAAAGGATGGGTCCAGTATCGGTGTGCTGAAAGCAAAGTTTGCACTGAAATCCTTTCCATTCTGAAAAGGATGGGTCCAGTATTGGTGTGCTGAAAGCAAAGTTTTCACTGAAGTCTAATAGATGCTCACTAGACTTCAGAATTTGTTTTTTTGTTTTTTTGTTTTTGTTTTTTTTGCCAGATGGCTAAGAGTAAACATTGAAAATTTGACTCACTTGCCCTCTAATTGTTGCCAGTGTTTTTCCAGTGGACAATCTGTCTTGGTAAAATGGTACTCAGAAGGAGAGTCGTAAGTGGTGTTTACTAGGAGACCATTGAGTCCAATAAGATTTTCAGTGGGAATTTTATTTGATTTACAACTGTACAGGTTGTACCTCCCTAGTCCTGCACTCTGTGGTCCGGCTGTGGTTCAGCATGATTTTAGTTAGACTGGTGTCCACTTATTATGTGGTGGCCAAATCTCCTACAGTCCCAGAAAGTTTGTTTACAGTCACCAATCCTGGTTCTCAGTGTTCTATGCTGTTATTTAGCTCTAATTTATCTCTAAATGTTTTCTAAAAGCCCAAAAAGCAATGGAGGTGTTGAAATACTGATTAATAATGATAATATTGATCTTTTGGGGTCCAGCAAATTCCCTGGTTTGGCACTGGTCAGGTCCTGAGGGTGCCAGGCTAAAGAGGTTCAACCTGTAGTATTTACCCCTTTCATGTGTTGGAATATTTTAATGGAGCTTGGATTGATGACAGCTTCTTCCTTGTGTGTACTGACATGGGTTGAATCACCACAGCACTGGTGAGGAGGGCTTTTCGGTAGCTGTGGTAGAGATAGCTGAGTACATATAATATTTTGTTTTGATCTAGTTCCTCTATTGCTTGTGGTTATTTTTTATTTTTAATTTTGTAAATGAATACTCCTGAAAATGTCCTAATACTGCTCTGCCAGTTTATATCAACCCTGCTTCTCCAGCCCAATGGCTTATTTGCACAGTAGCAGACAGTCATAACCTAATTATGGGTTGACTTTGTGTTGAATGTGAATGTCTACTAGAGCATTTAGTATCATTAAAGACAGTTTCATGATAGTATCATTAAATGATATCAATGATAATATCATTAAAGAGGTTTCTCTGTCTAATGGGCTAAAATCTTACCTTCTGATTGCTGTGTGAAGTGTATCATGACAGTCCAAGTGAACAATAACCTGAAACAAACCATCACCACTACTTCTTCGAGACTGTCCCTGTGAGTGCTCCACTTTAGGTGTTTGGGCACCTCAGTATGCCCGGATGGAAGATTTCTATAGCAGTGCTTGTGTATAGCCTGTTCGCATGTGCGCAGCAATGTTCACGCACCAGGCAGCCAACGTGCATGCGCAAACCCCCATCCCCTCAGTTCCTTCTCTGCTTCCTCCGGCACTAGTTGGAACCTGCTGTGCACTCCGCATTGAGCTCCTCAATTAGCTAGATAGCCTTTTTACTTTACCTTTTAGTCAGAATTAGCCTTTTAAAACCTTTTCCTTCGCTCTGCACACAAAAAAAGATTTTTTTTTCATGTGACTAAGGGGTTAACTATACCTAAGCCAGGTAGAGTTGGCCAATAGGAATGTAGGTAGGAATTTCAAACTGGGACAAAGGAATTTTGGATTACTCCCTTCTTTGTTCCTGGGCAGTTTCTCTCCAGCTACTGAGGGAGACAGACAGAATGTCTCCCTCCAAAAAAAGACTCTTCTGTAAGTAGGATAAAGTTTAGATAAATCTATTAGGTTTTATTGTTTTATGGTTTGGGAAATAGGATCTGATGTTTTCCATTTAAAATGGGTTTTTTTCTCTTTTGGGCCCATGGTGGAATTCCCTATGAGTATATTACTTTGTGACTTTACCATCTAGTCATTATGCTTGCAACAAGAATATTGTGGTGATAATAAAAGTTCTTTCTCTTTTCTTTTTATTAACTTGGTATTGGTTAATTTTTGTGTCTTGGATTGTACTTTAAGGGTGAGATTTCCCAAGTGATCTCTCCCCTGATTTTCTTATCATTAGTTGGGTGGTGGCAGCGGTTGTTAAGATTTTGGAGGGAAGTTTTTTTACCAAAGCCTGGAAAGATAAGGTTTTGGGGTACTTTTGCAGGCCCCCACTTCTTCATTCATCATGCCAGAATGGGGAAGGAGCCGTGACAATGTCGGAACCATGAATAAGCGGAGGCTCACTGCCTGACACTTTCCACTTGCGGGGATCGCCCTACATTGGCTCTCCCCTCCGTGCTATTAATGATTTTACTGGTTTTTATTATTTTTACTGTTTTATTCTTTTACTCTTTTAATCTTTAACCACCTGAGGAGATCCTCCCCAGAGTTTTCCTCAGGACACCTCCTCCCCCTCAGGCACGGCCAGTGCGCCCAATGTCACCTATTTGCCATTTGTATATTTCCTGCCCGGATGGGCATTTGCTTATCTCTACTGCCTGAGGGGGGAACACGCAGTACCTCAGGGCTTTTTTCACAGAGCCCTGACTCCACAGCAAATACTCCATGCGCAAGGCAACTATTTCACTTCAGTAGCAATCTGACTAGACTTAATCTTTGGATTTTTCCTGCATCCCCACTTACACTCTCTCAGCGGTTATGTCAGACAAAGTGGGGGCACCTGCCTCAGCTGTGAGCTCTGCAACCTCTAAAAAAAATCTGAGAGGATAAATGCAGATACTAGCAGGGAGTCGCCTTCACCCAAAAACAGGGTTATCCCACAATTCCAAGCCAGTTCTGTCCCCTGTGAGGGTTCTGGGCAACAGCTTGCCAGGGATGCAATCACTCACTGCACCCTGAGGGTCTCAAGACCTGGCTTCAATGCTGAAACAGGCTAGCAAGCCTAAGCCCCTTGCTGCACAAAAGCTCAACACAGCTATGGCACTGCCCGCGCAGACCCTGCATGCTGCCACTTATAAAAATAGGGGGTCTACTAAAGCCCCACGTTCAGCTCTGTCAATGTGCATGCCTACCCTGCAGCCTGGCAAGGCAAAAGGCTCACAGACACAGTACACTCTGCCACCTATGCCTCAAACCTATTCTTTTATATCTATGGAGCAGCTAAAGGTTACCTCGGTACCCATTACTCCACTTTACTCCACTCTCCAACACTTGCCAGGTTCTCTCCAGGAACAGGAATATAGCTGTTCCTGCACCTCCTTATATAGCAAGGAGGAAGCTGTGTCTTTTTCAAATGCTGCCTCACCCAGACATTCCTCCCATAGGAGGAGGCCACCTCTGCCACAATCAATGATGCCTCAGTGGGCCCCCCCAGCCAGTGGCTACTGCCCCTCATGACTATGCCTCTTGCTTGGCTCAACTGGGACCCATGGGCATCTCTCAGAATGCAGCAGCAACAATCCCATCACGCTGCTCAAACTCACACAAGAAACACTTCGGTGACCTCCCTAGATGTATCTGGGGATCAAACTGATTCCATTCATTCTTTTAGTGATGATGACTCCAATGATTCATCACACACACCAACCCAGTTCTCCTCCTCTTTTCCAGAGGATGCACTCATGCCACCACCTCCTTCAGCAGGCATTGATTCCAGGGCTTTTCAGGACCTTTTTAAAAGGACGGCTGATGCATTAGAAATTTCATTAACGACCCAGCCAGACACCCAACATAAACTCTCCGGCATACTGCAAGCTACACCATCAGTAAAATTAGTGCTACCCATGGATCCTGCCCTCATGGATCCTGCTAAACACTTGTGGCAAATACCAGCTACCATATTGCCAGTGGGCAAAAAGACTTACAGAAAATATTGTTTCCTCACAGGATGCGGAGTTTCTCTTCACACACCTTCCCGCCACTTCCCTCTTAGTTGATGCTGCCAACCAGAGGGCCTAACATACTTTACCAAAATCCATTCCCCCTGATAAGGAGTGGAAACGACTTGATCTCATGGGGAGAAAAGCCTACTCGTCTGCCTCCTTCCAGCTGCGCATCTCGAATTATACAGCTATGCTGGCAAAATATATACACATTTTTTAACAGATATCCATTTTTATTAAATACATTCCAGAACAAAAAAAAGAGCAATTTTAAGCCAGCACAAATGAGGGTTCCCTAATAGCCAGGACAGCCTTACAGGCCTCCCTTGACTCTGCTGACACTGCCGCTCGTTCCCTTGCAGCCGCGGTAGTGATGAGGAGAGCATCCTGGCTTTCAAAAAGAGGTGCAGACAAGGGTCGAGGACCTCCCATTTGAGGGCCCAAAGCTTTTCGTGGAGTCCACCAACACTTTGTTGCACTCCCTGAAAGATTCCCGAGCCACCCTTCGCACACTGGGCATACAGATTCCTGTGCGAAAATGTAAACAAAATAAGGGCCATACCCAGAGATATAGATCTGCCTTCTTTACTCTCCACAAAGGCAGTATGACCAAAGAAAGCAACAATGCCACAACAGGAAGCAACAATCTGCCAAGCAGCCAACCACATCCCAGCCCTCTAATGCTAGACAAACATTTTGAAGTTCAGGTCAGGAGTCATCAAACTTGTCCCTCTCCTTCCATCCTTTATGGCACTCCGATATCCACACATTGCCTAGCACCATTCTATCACTACTGGTGCCTCATAATATCCAACAAGAGGGTGTTGGACATAATAAAAAACTGGTACTGCATACCATTCCTGTCCCTTCCAAAACCCCTCCCCCCCACCTCGTCCCTCTTCAGGGACCCATCTCATGAGACTATCCTATGCCACCGGATTGATCGCCTGCTCTCCATCAAGCAGTGCAACATGTTCCCCAGTACTGCAACACTGGCTTTTATTCACGATATTTCCTCATGGAAAAGAAATCAGTAGGATGGAGGCCAATCTTAGACTTCAGAGGCCTCAACAGGTATGTCCTTTCCCAATGCTTCCATGTGGTTCCCTTCTCCACCATTATTCCCTCCCTCAACAGAGATGACTGGTTGGCAACTTCAGCCTCCAGGATGTGTATTTCCATATGCATATCCAGCTTGTGCACAGGAAAAACCTCAGGGCTGGCCCACAACATTTTGGTACCTGAGGCGGGGAGCTCAAATTACACCCCCATACTCCCTCGCTTGGGCCAAAACTTTGGAAGGTCTCAGTTCTGCCTTCTTCCTGTTCTACTCCTCTCATGGTATTGCAGAGAGAGTACTTATGCACCAGCAGCAGACACAATTTTCTACACTCTGGGTTCTAGTGGTGCCTCCTCATGGTAAGGCCAGCCCTGACTCAATCAGAGCCACGGCTGCATTAACCACATATATCCAGGGCATCCCCCTGTTAGATATTTGTAGATCAACTACCTGGTCATCCACCCATACTTTTGCAACCCACTACGCACTTGACACATACCCCTCTAGGTGAACCCGATTCAGCCACTGCATCCTAACAGCTGTCCATAAAGACACTATGCTGACCAAAGCACCCACCTCCAGCGGACACACTGCTTCATAGTCACCTAAGGTTGAGCATCCAAAGGGACAGCCTCAAAGAAGAAGAAAGGGTTACTCACCCTCTGCTGTAACTGAAGTTCTTCGGGATGGGTGTCCCTATTGGTGCTCCACCACTCTCCCTTCCTCCCTTCTGCTTTGGGATTCCTCTCACGTGCCTACCAGGGCAGAGAAGTAACTGAGGGGACTGGGGTTCGCACATGCACATCAGCTGCCTGGAGCATGAACATTGCTGCACATGCGTTAACAAGCTATACACAATCACTGCTATAGAAATCTTCCAGTCAGGCACACTGAGGTGCCCAAACACCTAAGGTGGAGCACTCATAGGGACACCCATATCAACGAACTTCAGTTACTGCAGAGGGTGAGTAACCCCCTCATCTCGGTGCTTGTCTCAGTAGTTGGGCAAAGGACTATATAGGTAATCCAAACAACTGTCAATCAATAGTTGTTTTAAATGTGCGTTGAGCTCTGCAGTAAAGTAAGTTTCCCACTCTACCCTTGCTGGATCACCTGTCTTCAGAAATAACTCAGAAATCATCAGTACAGCCTTTTTCACCCCTCTGTCTCCCTTTGCATCTGGATTAATTTTGTTCAGCTGCAGCTTTATGACACACCAGGAATTTACTTGAAGCACTGTCCACATTATGGAATTTTAAGAAAAATTCCTATCATTTCTAAGATGCATTCAGCTGCAGTGTTGCAGGTGCCACTGGGAATGTTTCTCTGGCTTTGGCAGCATTTTTAGCACCACAGATGTTAAAAAAACCATGGTGATTGAAAACATCTACCATTGTAAGAGAGCCCCTGTGCTACATTCACCAGAGGCAGGAACCTAGTAGAGTAGGTACAGACTGGCGTGGCTGCTTTTGTAGTCCGTGGGCTGAAATAACAACATTAGAGGGGCTGCACTGAAGCTTCACGGCCTGCCTGCAGGCTAGAAGTAAATTCTATCTCAGAAACACGCATCCAACATTGCACACAGTCTAATAGTTCTGGCTTTGTGTTAGAGACTCTACTCTAATACACCTACTCTAATGCACCTTGACAAGCATGCCAGTTCATGAAAGAATATCCATTCAGGAGCGGTGGTTAAACATATGCTTAACTCCATACTTATGCTGAAATCCTGTTGAAGTCCATTAGATTTACTTATTAAGTACTGTTGTGAATAGAGATGGACTTAAGTATATACAAATTCTTTAATTAGCAAATTGTCTAATGTAATAATAAATATGTGCTTCCTGCCCATATAGGCCAAAAGGATCAGGTACAATAGTTAATGTTTTCCGTCATGAATATCCTCCACAATTTTTAGCGTCTGTCATCGTAGACATTCAGGAGAGGTTTCCCTTTTATTCTGAAAGCAACAACGCTTTTATATATACATCTTTAAGTATTTTGAAGATGTCAAACACCACCTCAGTTAAGCTTCAGCTTATTCTTGAAGGTAAGTTACAGATATGGTTGATTAGTGTAGTAATGAGGATTTTGTTTTGGAAAATCTTGTGTGACCTTTTTTTCAAAAAAATCCCTCATTCTAGTTGTCTGAGTGCACACTATTTTAAACTTGCAAAGAAAGGAATTCACATTTCAGTGGGGTTGCTTCTCCTAAAGTGTAAAATTGAATTTATTTTCTCTTTCTGCCTATGCAGGTATTTGAAATCCTTCTCTGAGTGCTTGCCTTTGCTTTGACAAGCAAGTAAGTACTGAGCACCAGGCAAGGGGTCAGTTCTGAAGAGTTATTCAGCACTGGCTAAATTAATTATTCTATTACTAGTACCCACTACTTCTTTCCATGACACCAGCACCAGATAGGTTGATTACACCCCCAGGGTTTTCCCAGTACTAAAAGAACTGAAATCCTTTCTTTTGTCAGGAGACATGCACCTGGTAATATGAGTTGCAAGACTGGCATCAAAACCAACTGAATCTCTAGTATTGACCAAAGCTTAGACCTTACCACAAATTACTCCACTTTCTACTGTATGCCTATTTTTGAATTTGATGTCTCCTAACATAGTCATAACATAGAGAACACACCACCTAATTTTCCTAGGAGTCCCTCCTCAGAATATCAATCAGAAAAGGTATCTCAGATGTTCTTCTTCGAGCAGTGTCCCGTGGGTGCTCCACTTTAGGTGTCGGGCTTGTCCCGGCGCTGCAGATCAGAGAACTTTACTAGTCGTAGTCTGCCGGACCATGCATGCGCAAAGCGCGGCTTGTGCCTTTTCGCGCTGTTTGCGTTCGCGCGGTCCGGCTCCCGCCAGTTCCTCCTGACCGTCCTCGGCTGCGGATGGAATACCGTTTCTCCTCAAACTCTGTCAGAGTGAGAGAGAGGAAGAACTCACTAGATTTAGTTAGATTAGTTCATAGTTAGTTCTTTCCAGTTAATATAGTCGTAGTTGTTCTAGTTTTAAAATATATATATATATATTCCTCAAGCTATCTGTAAATAGTTTGTCCCCTGACTCCAGTCAGAGGAACACAGAGGCGACCATGCCAGGATCACCTGGATTTAAAAAGTGCAGCTCATGCCGGGAAGCAATGCCTGCCTCCAACGGTCACGCTCTCTGCATCAGGTGTCTGGGTGAGGGACACATACCCCAGAAGTGCCCTCATTGCTCCAAACTCACCACGAGAGCGAGGAAGGACAGGGACATGAGGCTCAAAATGCTCCTCTTCGACAGGGTATTACAGCCACAAGATGGGGCAACTCCCGTATCGCTTCCTGTCCCCTTAGCCAAGCTGTCCCCAAAGAAGGTGAAGAAAAGACCATCGCCTTCTCATTCCCTTCCCCCGATGTGTGTTAGCATGGGGGACAAACCGGGCACCTCGGGTGTGCATGGCCCTTCTAAGGCACTGCCGCAGCATTTCGGCTCCGCAGCCCGCAACTATTCCAGCACCTAAGTTATCGTCGGCACCGAAGCCTTCCCCAGCGCCGATGGCGCATGCGGCACCGAGCTCACCCTCCGCACCGCCTACAACTGCTCTTATGGCACTGACTTCCACGGCGGCACCGAACGAACCTCTGGCAATGTTGTAGCTTTATCAATTAGTTATTGAAACTCTCAACCTAGAAAGAGCTCTACTTAGGGATGGTAATTTGATCCTTATAATACTTGAGTCCCCTGTTTTGAGCCCTTAGTAAGATTCTCTTTCCTACATTTGTCAGTGAAGACATCTTTTCTAGACGCTACCATATCAGCTAGGATAAAATAGTATTCAAATTCTACCTTAATTAGGACATTCAATTACTGATATTTTAGTCTAAATCTCATGCCAATCTTGAATAACTTAGATTTCTTCTTAGAGACATCCCTGGGGGTGCTCCACAGCAGGTGTTGTTGCGCCCCCGCACCACAGAGCAGATTCTTCCTAGCATTGGAGGTCACAGCACCATCTGGCACTACTGTGCATGCGCAGTACTATCCCCTCAGTTTCTTCATACCATCCACAGCTCAAGATGGACCTCTGCAGTGCTCTTTGTTCATCAATAGTTCTCAGTAGATAAGTAGATTAATTAACTCCAAGTTGTTCTCCCTAGTTGTTTGCCAAGTTCTTCTCAGGGGGGAAAAAAATGCTGTTCGTTCGTTCGGGGTGAAGGGTTCTCCAGGTTTTAAACATAGCACAGACTGCAACTAGGCAATACTGGCCTCAGATGGCCACATAAATGTGTCAAGTGTCTTGGTGACTCCCATGTTCAGCGGGACTGCCCATACTATGCTAACATTAAGGTGCAAACGCGGAGAGACAGAGATCTCCATTTAAAAATGCTTATGATTGAGAAGGGCAAACTCCCTTCCTCAGACCCGGACTCTCAGCAGATGGCCAATGATAAGGGGGTCAAATCCAAGAAATCCCTGAAGAAATGTGACACCTCTCTGCCACAAGACTTGCAGTCGCCTAAACGGCGTTTGACCAACAGTATTGGCTGGGCTCTCCACAAATGTGCCTCACATGGTGACCATATGGAGGCTACACGCCATTAAGTGCCTGCCTCACAGAACTCAGCACTGAGTACGACACCGAACAGCGAAGCAGCTGAAATCACTGTGCTGAGAGTGTGAACCATGGCACCACAACAGCTGATGGCACACAGAATATTGTCACCATCCTGCAATTGCAGACGAAGGCAAATACTCACGCTCTGAGCTCTGCACCTGGAATACCACAGGTGCCGGGGCCAAGTGCGACCCCTCTAGCCTCGGTGCCATTTACTCCTACTACTAGCTACCAGAATCAGAGAGACCTTGTAGTCTCCTCAACTTTTAACTCTTCATTTTTAAGCACCGACAATCTGTCTTACTCAGAACCATCCAAATGGTGATGACGATGAGGAACCAAGGGTTTTCTCGTCCCAGCTGTCGCCATGCACAGAAACATCAGGACATTGATCCCATGCTGACTTTGCCCAGACTACCAGTGTGGGCATGGCCCGGTAGGTTCCATACCCATGGATGCCACCACCCATGCCTTATCCACCTCAATGGCAATATTGGAGACCATGACCTCAACATCACAAAAAGAGGCTATCTAAGACAAAGCACTTTCTCCCCTGTCCCAATCCCCTCTAATATAGAGGGAACAAAATGAAATTGATGAACTGCAGTCCACTGACTTAGGTCCAGATGCATCATTAGACACAAACTCACCATCTGTGACTGACCAGCCTATCATGCCACCACCCTCGGCAACCACTGAAGACTTCACCCCTTTCCAGGAACTTTTTAAGAGAGTTACAGCTGACCTAAACATTGCGATCGAGGATGTGCAGGACACACAACACAAGCTTACCATAATCCTGCAGGCTATGCCTTCCTCAAAAATTGCCCTGCCTATCAACTCAGCCATCATGGAACCTGCCAAAATTGTTTGGAAACCCCCTGCCTCAATTCCTCCCACCTGAAACAGGCAGACCACAAGTATTATGTTTCCCCAAAGGGGTCAGAGTTTTTATTTACTCATCCTCCACCAAAATCCTTGGTAGTCGACGTGGCTTAGCAAAGAAATAAATAGTAGCAAAACTGTTCCATGCCATCAGACAGATAATAAAGGATTTTACTCTCAGTAAAAAGGTTTGCACCTCACCCACATTACAACTAAGAGTGGCCAATTATGCTGCACTCCTTAGCAAATACGATTTTAACAGTTACACAAAGTTTAATCTTTTTGTTGATGATATAACACAGGTGAAAAAAACACAGTTTAGAGCGGTCATTGTGGAGGGCCATGCAATATCAAGGACAGCCCTTCAAGCTGCCCTAGATACAGCGGCAACAGCCATGGCAGTTGTCACGAGACAGGCTTCATGGTTCAATTCCTCTGCCTTCCCTTGAGAAATCTAGTCGTCTGTGGAAGTTATACTGCTTGAGGGTGAAAAGTTCTTTTCATATAAAACCCACTCCATCCCTTTTTAGGAACCCCTCTCACAGTAAGAAGTAGATCACCTTCTACAATTGGGTGCTATAGAACCCCAGGTTTTATTCTCATTACTTCCTCACTCAGAAAAAAACTGGAGGTTGGCATCCAATTCTGGATTTGAGGGCCCTAAACAAATTAGTAAAGAAGCAAAAGCTCAAAATGGTTACATTATCCACCATTAACTCATCTCTGGAGTTCAGTGACAGGTTTTCATCTCTCGACTTACAAGACACATATTTTCATGTGTCTGTTTGACCTACTCGTAGACGGCTTCTCCATTTCACCCTAGGTACACAGCACTACCGATATACGGTACTACCCTTCAGACTTTCCATGGCACTGAGGGTTTTCTCCAAAATGTTAGCAGTGGTTTCAGCCCACCTCTGAAAACAGGACATTACCATACATACGTACCTCAACTATTGCCTTATCAAGGCAAGAACTCAAGACGAATCCTATCACTGCACCCATCTAGTTCAACAGTGCTTCCAATCACTGGGACTCTTAATCAACAAGAAGTCAGTCCTTACATCGACTCAATCAATACAATTTATTGGGATGTACCTCAACTCTACCTCAGTCATTTCCTCTCTGCCTCCCAACAGATCCTAAGGATCTGCGAGCTAGTCCAATCGCTCCACAGAATGCCATGCGTCACAGTCCATAACTGTTTAGAACTCCTTGGACACGTGGCGTCCTGCAACCCTATGGTCCTCAATGCCCATCTATTCATGAAGTGCCTCCAGGGATGGCTCAGATCAAATTACAAACCCAACCTCCATTCCCTGACCAAAACATTGTCAATTCCCAACACAGTAAAAAGTTCAATACTATAGTGGACAAAGCTGTACAACTTATGCAGAGGCATACCCTTTCACACCGCAGAATCTTCAATGGTCATCACTACAGACACTTCCATCACAGGCTGGGAAGCACACATGAGACACCTTACAACCCAGGGCCGATAGACTTCAGCAGAGAGGATGCTACATATCAATGTCCTCAAGCTCAGGGCTGTTCAGCTCA